GAAGTCCCTAGTTAATTTATAATGTGTTAGTTTCAAGTGTACAGCAAAGTGATTCAGTTACACCTACATATATATATTTTTTTCTTTTTCAGATTCTTTTCCATTATAGGTTATTACAAAATATTGAGTATAGTTCCCTGTGCTATACAGTAGGTCCTTGTTGTCTACCTATTTTATATATATAGCAGTATATATAGTATATGTTAATCCCAAACTCCTAATTTATCTCCCTCCCCGCCATTAAGCAATTTTTAGATAAATTTTAATGGCATTAAGATTTATTCTGGGGGACTTCCCCGGTGGTCCAGTGGTAAAGAATCCACCTTGCAGTGCAGGGGACGCAGGCTCGATCCCTGGTCAGGGAACTAAGATCCCACATGCCGTGGGGCAACTAAGCCCACATGCCACAACTACTGAGCTTGAGCGCCTCAACTAGAGCCCACGTGCAGCAAACTACAGAGCCCACGTGCTCTGCAACCCGCGCGCCGCAACTACAGAGTCCACGCGCCCTGGAGCCTGCATGCCACAACTAGAGAAGAGAAAACCCACACGCCACAACTAGAGAGCAGCCCGTGCACCACAATGAAGATCCCACATGCCACAACTAAGACCCGACGCAGCCAAAAATAAAATAAATAAATAATAAATAAATCTTAAAAAAAAAAAAAAGGATTTGCTCTGGGAACTTAGTTACCTCTCCCACCTACCTGGTTGTCTTCAATCAGAAACCCGGTGACCTCTGGCCAAGCAGTGGCTCTCTGACCATACTCCTATAAATTGTCCCTTCTAAGAGGGAACCTCTGAATTGACCCTCAAGGGAGCTTTTCCTTTGCGTGCAAAGTTGCAGTAAGATTTTTTCTATGCACTCATAACTAACTCATAACTAATAGTGTTCTTCAGCAACATGTGGTAGGGTAGATATCATTTCAGGAAAATTGTTTCGGTAAAGCCTCTGCAGCCAGCCACCAGGGGGCACAGCCTCCAGGGTTGCCCCAAGATGCCCAGCCATCCATGAGCGGGAAGAGGGAAGCTCTTCAGAAGACAAAGCTCAGGTTTGTCGTCTAAAAGATTCTGAGGAGAGTCTATGGGAAGCAAGGACCATTTCTGGAGTGGGTGCTGTTTCTGAGTGGGGATTAGAAGCACTGGGGATTAACTAGGGACTGGGGGCCACCACGAGGTGAATGGTTTAGTATTGAGGCACCCCCGCCAACAGTTGGGAATTGCAAAGCTTGTCTAGGGGTATCATTGGTAGGAAAGCAGCAGTTGCTGAGAGAGAGGGGTGTCGTTCCCTCTTATGACTGCTGCTGACTCTGGGAGAAATCAGGTTTCCTGCTGGCTCTGCTGCAGGCTTTGTCCGTGTCTCTGTGAGTCTGTTTCTGTTTTGTAGGTAAGTTCATTTGTGTTGTATTTTAGATTCCACATATAAGTGATATCATATGGTATTTGTCTTTGTCTTTCTGACTTACTTCGCTTAGGTATGTCAATCTCTAGGTCCATCCATGTTGCTGAAAATGGCATTATTTCATTCTTTTTTATGGCTGTGTAGTACTCCATTGTACATATATACCATATCTTCTTTATCCATTCAGCTGTCAATGGACATTTAGGTTGTTTCCACGTCTTGGCTATTGTGAATAGTGCTGCTATAAACATATAGGTGCATGTATCCTTTTGAATTACAGTTTTCTCCAGATATATGCCCAGGAGTGGGATTGCTGGATCAGATGGTAACTCTATTTTTACTTTTTTGAGGAACCTCCATACTGATTTCAATAGTGGCTGCACCAACTTACATTCCCACCAACAGTGTAGGAGGGTTCCCTATTCTCCACACCCTTTCCAGCATTTGTCATTTGTAGCCTTTTAATATGGCCATTCTGACTGGTGTGAGGTGGTACCTCATTGTAGTTTTGATTTGCATTTCTCTAATAATTAGTGATGTTGAGCATATTTTCATGTGCCTGTTGGCCATCTGTATGTCTTCTTTGGAGAAATATCTATTTAGGTCTTCTGCCCATTTTTCAATTGGGTTGTTTGATTTTTTGATGTTGTATGAGCTGTTTATATATTTCCAAAATTAAGCCCTTGTCAGCCACATCATTTGCAAATATTTTCTCCGAGTCTGTAGGTTGTCTTTTCGTTTTGTTTATGGTTTCCTTTGCTGTACAGAAGCTTGTAAGTTGACTAGGTCCCACCATTTGTTTATTTTTGCTTTTATTTCTATTGCCTTGGGAGACTGACCTAAGAAAATATTGGTACGATTTATGTCAGAGAATGTTTTGTATATGTTCTCTACTCGGAGTTTTATGGTGTCATGTCTTATAGTTAAGTCTTTAAGCCATATTATTTTTGTATATGGTGTGAGGGTGTGTTCTAACTTCATTGATTTACATATGGCTGTACAGCTTTCCCAACACCACTTGCTGAAGAGACTGTCTTTTTTCCATTGTATATTCTTGCCTTCTTTGTCAAAGATTAAGTGACTGTAGGTGTGTGGGTTTATTTCTGGGCTTATTGGGTCTTTTTTTTTTGAGTCACCATGTGTCTTTCAGGATCTTAGTTCCCCAACCAGGGATTGAACCCGTGCCCTCGGCAGTGAAAGTGCAGGGTCCTGACCACTGGACTGCCAGGGAATTCCCTTATTGGGTCTTGATATAAAATGTACTTCTTACTGTGGGTCAACATTAAAAAGAAAAGGAAAGCCACCATCTGATAAACTCCCTAGTCTTTTCAACGTCAGGACACACATAGAAAATGATTATTTGTTTAGCACAAATGATACTTGTCCAACTCACTGGGGTAAATAAATGAAGCTTCTTGGAGTTTAAGAGGTGACTGGAACAGGGTCACCCTGGACCCTGCCTGGCTGTTCTGTGGTGATGGGCACAATATCCCAGGCAAGCCCAAAGCACTCAAGGAGCTCCAGTCTGCAGAATAGGAGCAATTACAGCTCAGTAAAAAGCGATCATTTCTGGAAACAGCCAGAGCCTGTGTGGACTAGAAGGCAGGAGTGATCTGAGTTCTGAGACCTGGGCCCAAACAGGGCCTTTTGCCACCGACTTGGTTCAGCAATGAACTGCCCTTGAGCCCCTCAGTGTGGGTCCTGGAAAGCACCTGCCCTCTCCACTGCCTGGGAGTGGCCCTCACAAGGCGTTCACATGATCACATGGTTTTATAAAATTTGCAGAATTTGGACACTTAAGCCAGAATCGGTTAAGCCTGCTATCTCGCTCCACTCAGACTTCCTCTTCATCACGTTTCCCCTCCTGCTAGGAGGCCTCAGTGTGGCCACAGCACTGTGTGTTCATAATCGTGTATCTTAGTTCTAAAACAGGGCCTCCAACGTTGGAGAGGCTTCAGGCCCCACAAAACCCGCCTCTGCCTCTGCCACCAACCGGGGTCGCAAAGAGGTCAGGGCAGGACTGCGCTGTTGTCCCACCTTCCCTCTTAGGGTCCTTGTAGCAGCCATTCTTGCACACCCATTACTGGGTGGGTTTTCTCTTTCTTTTTGAAATGTATTATTAATATTTAAAATGCACACAGTAAACAAACAGTACAAAAGAGCATGCAATGCACAGTCAGTCACCTGCCAACCCCAGTTCCCAGAGCTGAGCTTCAAAAGGATAATACCCAAAACAGTGTCTGGTGGACCGTTCAAGAAAATATCTAGATCTAGATCCTATCCTATTTTTTATACAAACAGAAGTATATTTATACACCAGTTGTACAGACAAACCTTAGCAATCTTTCCACATCAGCACATAGAATATGACTTCATTCTTTTCAACCACTACATAGACTGTATGTGTGGAATTTACCCTAACCCATTAGGGCCGACTTCATCATGTCCATGACTGCACTTGTCCTGCAACTTCCAGGTGGTTTTGCGCAAGACCTCACAGAAGGCTGTTACCTGTTTCATAATATTTTCTAGTTTTTGATCCTTAACCTAGGAAATGTCACTCAAAAGTCAAGTCAAGCAGGTGGATGCCAAAGTTGGCCACCACGTGTCAGGAAATCAGCTGTTTGCTTAAAAATCAAACTCCGATCCCTTAAGATTAATGATGCACCTGCGCCGCCCGGCGGGGAGTGAGACCCGTCCCCCTCACCCCCACAATTGCGGGTAAAGCTCCACCTCGGAGGTGCGGGAGTTTACATAACTACCGCGGCCGAGTGGAGGCCGCCCAAGTGCTGGGTCACAATGAGTCATCCCCATTCTGCAAGCTCCGGGTGTCACAATTGTGCCCAGTTCCATTCAGCTCCTCCGCGTCCGGTTTAAATCTTCCAGCCTGTTAAACGCTGGGAGGGCGGGACTGCAGAGCCAGAGCGTTCTAGAGCGAGCAGCGCCACCGCTAGGCCAGCTGTGGTGGAGGCGGCGGTCAGGTGCCGGCGCTGGGCCAAGCTCCTCCTCCCCGCACTGAGATTCGCACCGCCCACTTCGGAGTGGGTGGGTTTGATTTCAAGGGAGGGATGGCAGTTTTTCTTGACTCTTCTCTCCCAGAACAGAGACTGATTCTTGGACTCATCTCTCTAGCTCAGTGACTACCCAAGTGTGTGGCGGGGGAGCAAAGTCGTATAGGAAGTGCTCCCCATACGTCTGCGGACTGAATAAAGATGCCCCCCCCCCCCAGTAAGTGTACAACGCTCCCACAGCAGGTGTAGGTTATAGTCCCCATTCCGTGCGTATGGACTTTTGCGTCCAGGGCCTTTACAACGAACTTCCGTGTGACGCGCCCAACTATTTACGCCGGTCCCTCGCAGGACCGGGTGGAGGAGGGTGGGGATTAGTTATGCAGCAAGCGGAGTCAATCCGGGTCTATGGTCTTGGAGACTACAAGTTCCAGAATGCAGCCTTCCGTTAGCGTAGTGAGAGGTCGAGGTTGAGGGAGCATTGCCTTCTGGGAACTACAGTCTTGAGTTTGTTTGTGATGCGAGCGAAACTAGGGGGGAGGGGGAGAGGGAGTAAACTATTAGCACGTGACGCCAGGGATCAGGTGTTAGGGCCAGCCTCCGCGCAAGGGCTGATTGGCTGACTCTAATACGAACGACGCCACTAGGGGTGGGCCGAGGAAGGGCGCAAGCGCACTGCGTTCCGAGTCTCGGGACCCTTTTCCGAGAGACTATGGCGCTCAACAAGAATCACTCGGAGGGCGGCGGAGTGATCGTCAACAATACCGAGAGGTGAAAACACTACGGAAGGATCCTGGAGAACTGAAGGGCGGGCGTCCAGGGTGTGGGTAGTGGGTGGTGGGTGAGTGGGCGGTGGGGAATAAACCCGTGAAGAGGGGAAACTGATGGGG